TTAGCCACAACTGTGCCTGGTGCTTTCGCCCGTATGCGAGCCGTTTAGCTAGCTAGCTAGTGACCAGGCTAGCTGGTTGGCTAGCTGGGCAGCTAGCCAACCAGCTCGTTAGCTGGCTAGCTAGCTAGCTAGCTAGCTAGCCATGGCGTTGCAGTCTCTTGCTTCTGGGGGGCGAGCTTTTAGAGCAGCTGCTCAGCAGCAGCAGCAGCAGCAGCAGCTAGACCGAGTTTGCAGCAGCCAAAACAGCGCGGGCGCCGCTTCTAACTCCCCTCTGCCTCCTGTGCCGCTGCCACTGCTGCTGCCGGTGCTGCTGCTGCTGCTGCTGCTGCAGTGCGTGGTGGCGGAGCTGGCTGCGCTGGTGACGCCCAGCAAAAGCCCGCGGGCGTTGAAGCGCGGCAGCACAAATGTGGTGATGTTCGTGGGCCTCCAGGGCGCGGGCAAAACCACCACCTGCACCAAGTTCGCACTGCACTACCAAAGGAAAGGTCTGCTGCTGCTGCTGCTGCTGCTGCTGCTGCTGCTGTGGTGGTGGTGGTGGTGGTGGTGGTGGTGGTGGTGGTGGTCCTGCTGCTGCTGCTGCTGTGGTGGTGGTGCTGCTGCTGCTGGTGGTCTGGTGGTGGGAGTTTTGCTGCTGCTGCTGCTGCTGCTGGGTGGTGGTGGCGGTGCTGCTGCTGTTGCTGTTATGGTGCTGCTGCTGCTGCTGCTTTGTTGGGGGGTGCTGTTTTTACTGCTGTGGTGGTCTCGGAGGTGCTGTGATGCTGCTGCTGCGCTGCCGGTGACGGTGCTGCTGCAGTGCTGCTGCTGCTGCTGCTGCTGTGACTTTTAATTGTTATTTGATTGTTTCTTTTTTGATTTGCTGCTGCAGGCTACCGCACGGCGCTGGTCTGCGCAGACACTTTTAGAGCTGGTGCTTTTGACCAGCTGAAGCAAAGCGCCACTAAGGCCCGAATACCCTTCTTTGGCAGGTAAACCCCAAACCCTAAACCCTAAACCCTAAACCCTAGGCTCGTGTTCTGACACGTGAGCCCTCACCGCTGGGTTTTCGCGGCCAGAGTCTGCGTTGAGGTTGCGGCGCAGAACGGCGCGGGTGCGCGCTTCCTGGCGCTACGGTTCACGGATTAGGGTTTAGGGTTTAGGGTTTAGGGTTTAGGGTTTGCGCAGCTACACGGAGGCGGACCCCGTGAAGATTGCCGTGGAGGGAGTACAGCAGTTTCGAGATGAGAAATATGATTTGGTGATTGTGGACACTTCGGGGAGGCACCGACAGGAGGCGGCGCTTTTCGAAGAGATGCAGCAAGTCGCCGAAGCAGTGGTGAGGGTTAAGGGTTTAGGGTTTAGGGTGCTCACAGGGTTTAGGGTTTAGGGTTTAGGCACGAGCTTGGGGGCTCGTTTGCGCGCAGCTCGGCCCCACCAGGGTTCTTGTTTAGGGTTTATTGGGGGATTAGGGTTTAGGGCTCGGGGTTTAGGGTTGGGGGTTTGGGTTTCAGGCCCCCGACGACATAGTGCTGGTAGTGGACTCGCACATAGGCCAGGCTTGCTTCGAACAAGCTGCTGCTTTTGCTGCTAGTGTTTCTGTGGGAAGTGTCATAATAACAAAGCTGGACGGCCACGCCAAGGGCGGAGGGGCTCTTTCCGCGTAAACCCTAAACCCTAAACCCTAAACCCTAATGGTGTTGGACGAGGTGGCGTTGCTACGGTCTCAGTAGAGCCGGAGTCTCACGCCTCGCGCCAAGCTAGCTGTTATCCAGGGCCGCGGACCTAGGGTTTAGGGTTTAGGATTTAGGGTTTAGGGTTCAGGGTTTGATGCTGCAGCGTCGCTGCAACGGGAGCGCCAATTATATTCTTGGGGAGCGGCGAACACTTCGACGACTTTGAGCCGTTCGATCCGAATTCCTTTGTCTCGAGGCTTCTTGGTGGGTTTTTTGATTTTAATTTGTCATTTATTTGCATTTATTATTATTAATTTTTTATCTAATTAATACTTATTTTGCATTGCTTTCCACTCGCAGTTCGACGGTTCGCCGCCGACTGCTTCCCCATCTGTTCAAATTGTTTGCTCTTCGATCTCGGGCTTAAAGTGGCCGCTCTTTTCATAATTTCCATTTCTTATTCTGCAAAAAGTTTGCATTTATTTATTTTTTGCATTTTAAAGTGTTTTTCGTTGTTTGAAGAGTCGTTTGTTCGTCTGTCTATCTGGTCAGCGGCCTCTTCATTTGAAATTTCTGCATTTGTTGTTGAACGAACAAGCTGTGGATTCGCCTGTGCCTTCTACATTTCACCAAGGAATTATTCGTAAACCCATTGATTGATACATTGTTTATTTATTTATCTATTTCTTTATTTACCTATTCGTTTGCCTTTCTATTTATTCTTATTTGTTTGCTCATTCCTCCGCGTGTTCGTCTGCTGATTTGCATGTCGACGCTTTCTTAAGCGAATTGCAACCCAAAGACGTCGAAAATCAGGCGGCCGGCTGAATAGCCATTTAATCATTCAATCTATTTATTTATTTACTTATTTGTTTGTTTATTATTAATTGGTTAGATGAGGTTTATTTGCCGTTTGCCTGCAGGGCTGGGCGACGTGGGGGGGCTGGTGAGCAGCCTGAAGGAAGTGATATCTGTGGAGAAGCAGCAGCAGATGATCGATCGCATTTCGAAGGGGAAATTTACGCTGCAGGACATGTACGAACAGGTCCAAAATGTCCTCAAGATGGGGCCCATAAGCAAGGTAAAGGCCGATCAAGTTGCAGTTATTATTTAGTTTAATTTTAAATTCAAAAATGCAAAAAAGAATAATTTGAATGCAAAGATGACTGCTGCGAAGCACCCGAAAGCCCAGTAGGCGCCGCTGCTCTGCCTGCCACCGCAACATGCCACCATGCAGCTGTTCAGCGTCTAGGGTTTAGGTTTTAGGGTTTAGGGTTTAGGGTTTAGGGTTTGCGTTTAGGTTATGAGTATGATCCCGGGGTTGGGCTCCAATTTAATTCCCAAGGGCCAGGAGCGGCTGGCGGCTCAGCGGCTGAAGCGGCTGACGTGCGCGATGGATTCAATGACGAAGGAGGGTAAAACGGCGGAATCTGCGTGAAAATTCGTCTAAAATTAATGAAATAGATCAAATTTAGTTCATTTTCATCAAATTTAATCCATTAATTCCAATTTTCACGCCAGTTTCCACTGCTTTCCTCCCTTTTTTGCAGAACTTGCATGCGAAAAGCAGTTCACAGACTCCCGCATCTTGAGGGTCGCTAAGGGCTCCGGCACTTCTGTGGCCGAAGTGCGGCTGCTGCTGGAGCAGCACAAACAGTACGTCTATTAATTAATTAATTAATTAATTAATTAAATTAATTTGTTATTTGGTGGCTAATTGGTCAGCTTGTTCAACTGGCTAGTTGATTAGCTTGTGAGCGAAGTAATTGGCCAGTTGGTTCGGCGATTAATTGCTCAGTTGGGTAATAAGCTGGCAAAAGGGTTGTGCCCCCCTTGTCTATCTGGCTAGCTAGCTAGCTGTCTAGCTGTCAATCTGTCCAGCCGTCAAGCTGGCCAGCAGTATCGTTGGCTGTCTGGCTAGCCAGCGAACGAGGCTGGCAGCCCCGCCCCCCCGCTAGCCAGCTAGCTGGCTAGCTAGCTAGCTAGCTAGCCGTTGTGGGCTGTGGGCCTCGCAGGTTCAGCAAAATGGTGGCGAAGATGGGCCGCGCGGGCCTCACCAAGGAGTCTTCGCTGCAGTCGCTCGCCCGCAACCCCAGCCAGCTGCTGCAGAAGATGCAAACTGCTGTAGACCCTCGTCTTCTGAAGCAGATTGGGGGCCCCGGCAACATCGTCAACATTCTCAAGGAAGTGCGCCGCAGCTAGCCACAGCTAGCCGCAGCTAGCCGCAGCTAGCCGCAGCTAGCCGCAGCTAGCTGCAGCTAGCTGCAGCTAGCCGCAGATAGCTCCAGCTAGCCGCAGCTAGCTGCTGGGCCCAGCTGGCTGTCCAGCCGGAGCTAGCTGGGGCTGCCCGTGACTAGCCACAGCTAGCTGTAGCCAGCGAGTTCACTAGCCCCAGCTAGGGACGGCTGGCGTGCTTGCTTGCTGCGGCCAGCGGCAGCTAGCTGCGGCTAGCTGCAGCTAGCCTGCTGCCTGCCAGGGCGTGCTGCAGCTAGCCAAGGAAGTGAAAGTCACACCTTTTGCTGCTGCTGCGGTGTATGTACAGTTCCAGTCGGGGGAGATGGGAGACATGCAGGAAATGATGAAGCAGCTGGGGGGCCTAGGCGCGCGCTGAGGGGCCTCTCTGGCTAGCTAGCTAGCTAGCTAGCTAGCTAGCTGGCTGGCTGGCTGGCTATCTGGGCAGCTAGCTGGCTAGCTGCTGCTGCGGTGCTGGCAAACTGTAGGGACTGAGCTTTGCTGGCCGCGCAGGGCTCACTCGCCAGTGAGTTAGCTAGCTAGCTGGCCAGCTAGCTAGCTAGCTAGCCAGCTAGCTAGCTCCGTAGCTACCTAGGCAGCTACCCATTGGGCAAGCTACCTACATACCGACCCGTGGCCAGCTGCATAGCTGGCAGCGAGCTAGCTAGCTGGCTAGCTGGCTAGCTAGCTGGCTGCAAGGTAGCTGTGGGGGCCCAGCGATCCGCGGGCGAACGCGCCAAGGGCTTTGTGCCTTCAACAGCCGTAGCTGCACGGCTAGCTAGTTGGCTAGCTAGCTAGCTGGCTGGCTAGGTAGCTGGTTAACTAGCTAGCTGGCTAGCTAGCTGGCTATCCAGGTAGCTAGCTGGCCGCCTCCCTACACAGCCAACAATTCCCACTGGCTAGGTGTGGCTAGCGATGGAGATGGGCGGCTAGCTGCTCGTGCTGCAGCAGCTAGCTGCTGCTGCGCTTCTGCTGCGCTGCGCAGCCCAAGCCTAAACGCTAGGCTTCAAACCCTAAACCCTAGACTCTGGACTTCAAGCTACAAACGCTAAACCCTAAACCCTAGCCCTTAAACCCTAAACCCTAAAACCCAAATTTAAAACCCTAAGCCTTTGCACGAGTCCAGTGGCTGCCCTTTACTGCAGCGCCTAAACAGCAGATGAGGCACATAAGAACGCACAGCGAGACTGTGCAGCAGCAGCAGCTGCTGCTATTGCTGCTGCTGCTGGGCTGCTGCTGTTGCTGCTGCTGCTGGGCGCTAGTCCTTCTCGCCCTCAGCTGCTGCTGCTGCTGCTGCCCGCTGCGCAATAGCTGTTGCTGCTGCAAGCGAGGGAAGGGCCTCCACTGCTTCTTCGAAGCTGGCTGTGAGGGGCTCTGCAGCAGCAGCAGCAGCAGCAAAGGCGGCGTAGGCCCTTGCTGCGCGTACCAGCGTGTCGCATGCAGCAGCTACCTCCTGGAGGTCTGCTGCTTCTGCTGCTGCTGCCGCCGCCTCCTCCGCAGTTAGCCCCCTCTGCTGCTGCTGCTGCTGATCCTGCTGCTGCTGCTGCTTCACGTTCGTCGCTGCAGCAGCAGCGGCGCTCTTCTTGGCCTTCTGCTTTCCCCTTTTCTTTGCTGCAGCAGCAGCAGCTACTGCTGCGTGCCGCCGTGGGAAAACTGACTGAGCAGCAGCCTCCGCAAGCAACTGTATCTGCAGGGCCTTGCTGCTGCTGCTGGTGCTGAGTTCTGCTGCTGCTGCGGCTATTCGTGCTCTTGTTGCTGCCACTTGGTCGTCTAGGAAGAGCAGCACGCACTCGAGCGAGTCGGGGGCTGCCGCTGCTGCTGCTGTCAACACCTTGCTGCTGCAGCGTTGTTGCTGCTGCACAAGCTGCTCCTGCTGCCGCTGCTGTGGCAGCAGCAGCTGCTGCTGCAGGACTGAATCGAAGAGCTCCAATGCTCTAAGAGGATTCGTCTCGCTAATATCTAAAATGTCTGCTCCTTCTGCATGCGCTGCTGCTGCTGCTGCTCTAGCTGCTGCTGCTGCGCTAGCGGCCGTTGCTGCTGCTGCTGCGTCTGCGAATAGGTCTCGCTGCTGCTGCAGCTGCTGCAGCTGAGAGCACAGTTGCTGCTGTTGATGCCTAAACTCTGCCCATTGCTGCAGCAGAAGGCACACATCTCCCCAGGGCAGCTTACCAGTCCCTGCTGCTGCTGCTGCTGCTGCCTTGCTGCTGTTGCTGCTGCTGCTGTGTTGGGGTGCTGCAGCAGCAAGGAGCAGCTCCTCGAGTGCCTGTGTGGCGTGCATCAGAGTTTGTGGTTAGCTTTGCGGACACCCTCTTGCTGCTGCTGCTGCCGCCTCTGCTGCTGCTGCCTTGCTGCTGCTGCCTTGCTGCTGCTGCCTTTGCTGCTGCTGCTGCTGCTGCTATACTTGAGGCGGGGAGCGGTACTTCCAGACATCATTTGGGGGGTGCTGCTGCAGGAAGAGCTGCAGCAGCAGCCGCGGCCGATCTGCTTCTGCTGCTGCTGCTGCAGCGCGGCACTGCAGCAGACGGTCTAAGCCACGCATCCAAACGCCACTGATATCCTCATCTGAATCGCAAACCCTAAACACTAAACCCTAGACCCTGAACCCTAAACCCTGGAGCCTAAGACTTTACTCCGTAAGGCCTCTATTCCCAAGCCGTGGACCCCAAACCCTGGACGCTGAAGCCTAAACCCTGAACCCTAAACCCTGAAGCCAGGTAGGTATTCTGATGATAGGAGCTTAGAAGTCCCTCTCGCGCCTCAGGAGTCCAAACCCTAAACCCCAAACCATAAACCCTACTTGCGTGGTGCACTTTGTGCAGGGTGAAGGCGTTTATGCCAGCCAGCCGCCAGCCAAAGAACTCGTCAAAGCAGCTGCTGCTGCTGCCCTGCTGCGCTGCAGCAGCAAATGATGGCAGCAAACCGAACCAGCTATCAAAGTAAAGAAAGTCCCTGGGCAGTGCGCAGGTCTTTAGACTCATCCTAAAACCGTGAACCCTAAACCCTAAACCCTAAACCCTAGACCCTAAAGCTTGCAGAGGAAACACGAAACATGAGGCCCCAGGAAGGTCAGAGCCACGGTGAACAGAAACAGCAGTAAAACAAAATCATTGTTTGGAGTTTAAACTTTAAGGCCTAGGGTTTAGGGTTTAGGGTTTAGTTTTTAGGGTTTCTGTGAAGGGGCCCCCTTGGACAGCCCCGTAGCTGCTGGGGCCTTCAGGTTCAGAGGGTTTCGGGTTTAGACTTAGGGTTTGATCTCCTAACCGCTTCCCTTATTTGTCCGATCATAGAAAAACATTGGAAATCAAAACTTTTTTTAGGAGTAGATTTCAGGGTTTAGGGTTTAGGGTTTCGCCCGGAGCGCCCTGGGGGCCCCACACAGCCCTTGTAGAGCCTTCTGCCTTCGGGGGCCCTCAAACCCTCACCTCTTCTTGGATCTTGTTCTTACTAAACCCTAAACCCCAAACCCCAGCCTAAACCCTATGCCTGCCTTCACTGAGCGCGTTTGACCGCCAACTGCGTGGGTGCATCGACAGCAGCAGCAGCAGCAGCAGCAGCAGCAGCGGCAGCAGCAGCAGCAGCACAATGTCCCGTCGTCGTGCAGCGAAGAAGAAGCAGCGGCAGCGGGTGCGCGCGGCCGCGGGCTCCCTCTCCAAGGCCCCCAGCAGCAGCAGCAGCAGCAGCAGCAGCAGGCCGTCGAGCATCGTCGTTCGCAGCGGGCGGCTTGCTGCTGCTGCGCGGCTACTGGCGCGGGACTGGCGCTGCGTTGTGGGGCCCGAAGTTGCAGCAAAGTTGAAAGAAAAAAGACAAAATAAAACAAAAGATTTTGTTGCTGCTGCTGCTGCTCTGGGGGTCACTCATTTCCAAACCCTCACTCAAACGGACAACGGCCTTTACTTGAAAGTCGCGCGCCTCCCCAGGGGGCCCACTATCACCTTCCAGGTAAACCCTAAACCCTAAATCCTAAACCCTATACCCTAACCCTAAACCCTAAACCCTAGAACGCTGAAGCTGCGGGCTGGAGAGTGGGCGGCAGCAGCGCTTCAAGCCAGCAGCAGGAACTCAAGGCCAGTTGGTGCGGGGTTTAGGGTTTAGGAGGTGACTTTAAGGGTTTAGGGTATAGGGTTTAGGGTTTAGGGTTTGCGGCTGCAGGTCGTAGGGTTTAGCTTAATTAGTGATGTTCAAAAGGAAGTTGGCGGCGCCAGGCTGGATCCCAAAGACCTCCGCAAACCCCCAGTTCTGGTCCTCAGCAGCAGTAGCAGCAGCAGCAGCAGCAAACAGGGCAGCGAGGGTTTGGCTGCTGCTGAGGCTCTACAGCTCACCACCTCAATGCTCCGCTCTCTCTTCGCCCCTGTAGACCTTCGCACAGCCAAAGTGACAAACCCTAAACCCTAAACCCTAAATTTTGCACCCTAGAATTAAACCCTAATCTGTAGTTCGAAAGTCTCAGTGTTTGCTGCAGCTACTCACTGCAAGGTCAAACCCTCATTTGGAGCCTTTCAGATAGAAGACTAAAGCGCTTGGCGTATAGGCGTAGTCTGGGGTTTAGGGTTTAGGGTTTAGGATTTAGGGTTTATGGTTTAGGGTTTAGGGTTTAGGTTTTGGATTTACGGGTTTTGTGTTTGTCGGCGCAGCTAAACGACTTCCGTCGCGTCGCGTTTTTCCGTTGTGTCTCTGAGGCAGACGGCAGTAGCAGCAGCAACAAGAACAGCAGCAGCAGCAGCAGCAGCAGTAGCAGCAGCAGCAGCAGTAGCAGCAGCAACGGGATGACCTTTGAGTTTAGGCACTATGCTGTTTCGCTGAAGGCAGCAAACCTGACTGCTGGAGTCGAAAATGTGCTGCGAGCTTCTGCTGGAGGTGCAGCACAGAAGCTGCTGCTGCAGCAGCTGCAGCAGAAGCGGGAGGACGCATGCGACTTGCTTCTGGCAGCAGAGCAGCAGCAGCAGCAGCAGCAGCAGCAGCAGCAGAAGCAGCAGCAAGTCATGTTCGATGCGGCCACGGGACCCTCTCGCATCTCCAAGCGCAGCTTCCTGCAGGTTATTCTCCCAAGCAAACAGCAGCAGCAGGTGCAGCAGCAGCTGCAGCAGGAGGAGCAGCAGCAGCAGCAAGAGTTGTCTATGGGAGTCCAGTTAAGGGAGATTGGCCCCAGACTTGAACTGAAACTCTTCAAGATAGAGGACGATGTCTGCACGGGCAAAGGTAAACCCTAAACCCTAAACCCTAAATTGCTGCTTTCTGGGTGCAGCTGCTAAGCTGCAGCGGCTGCTGCAGGTTCCGCCGTTGCAGCTGCTGTTGCAGCTGCTGTTGCAGCTGCTGCAGACGCTGTTTTAAATTCTTTGCTCCTTTTATACTGCACTTGCTGCTGCTGTTATTGCTGCTGCTGCTGCACCTGCTGCTGCTGCACCTGCTGCTGCTGCTGCTGCTGCTGCAGTGTTGTACCACAAGCACATTTTGAAGACTGCGGAGGAGCTAAAGGCCCTCAAGAAGAAGGAGCAGTTGTTAAGGGCCAAGAGGGAGTGAGGGTTTAGGGTTTAGAACTTAGGGTTAAGATGTAGGGTTTGGTGTTTAGGGTTTGGGGTTTAGGGTTTACGTCAGACAGCGCACTGCAGCAACAGCAGCAGCAAGTGCAGCAGCAGCAAGTGCAGCAGCAGCAGCAGCAAGAGCCTTGCTTCGCTGTTGTTTCACAGGGAGGAGCGTCAGAAGTTGCTGGAGCTGCTGGAGCGGAGGGACAAGACAGCAGCAGCAGCGAAGCAGGCAGCAGCAGCAGCAGCAGACGAGGAGCAGCAGAGCAGCAGCAAGAAGAGAGGCAGGGGAAGCAGCACAGAAGGCCTCAGTGAAGACGAAGCTGCGTCACAAGAGTCTGAGACCGAAGAGGATAGCTGCAAAAGGCCAAAGTAAGCCAAACCCAAAACCCTAAACCCTAAGCCCTAATACACAGGGGTGAGGTGTCCAGTGCATCATAAGCCGTAGATGTAAACCCTAGCTGTCTAAGAGGCGCTGCGCGGCCCCACAGGTACAACCCTTTCACCTTCAAGCGGCGAAAGCCAGCAGCAGCAGCAGCAGCAGCAGGAGCCAAGCAGCGGCAGCAGCAGCAACAGCAGCAGCTCCCCCGCCAGCAGCAGGGCTTAAACACCAAGAAGCATCAGCCAAGTGCACCCACAAAGAAACTTAAGGAGAGTCGCAAAGCAGCAGCAGCAGCAACAGCAGCAGCAGCAGGAAAAGGCCAGCAAACTGAGAGCGGCAGAGGCCGCAGCAGCAAGTGGCGCGGCAGCAACAAGAACCGAACACTTCCAGAAGCTGCAGCAGCTTCGATTTAGTTTAAAGCATTTAATGCAGCAAACTGGTGTATGTACAACTGAGGAGCGCTCTGCCCAGGGTCCAAACACTGACACAAATGAAAAAGTGCTTGTGGGTTTTATTTAACCGAATGCGTGCAAAAACTAGGTGTACGTACACCTGGTGTACATACACCTGGTGTACGAGCACCATGTGGAGGGGCTTGACCTGCACACTTTTGGATTAAAGCAGTTCAGCTAGACAGCATTTGATCTGAAACTCTAGAGCGCTAGCTGCTTCTTGGCTGCTGCAGGAGCGGCTGCATCCCGAGGTATCTGCGCAGCTGGTGTCTGTACAGCTAGCTCGTGGGCCACCGGGTGTACGTACACCCGGTGCCTGTACACCCGGGGCAGCTACTTCTCTTGCACTTGCTGCGTTGAGCGCGCGGTGCACGCTGCTGACGTGTACGTACACCTGGGTAGGCGTGCCGGACTACAGCGGGGGCTCCGGTGTACATACACCGGGTGGCCGTGCACGCGGTGTACGTACACCTGGTTAGGGAGGCCGTTGCTCCTTGGCCGTTGCTGCAACTCATCACAATTGTGTTTTCCCATTGAATAAATGGTTAGTCGAGAAATAACGTGGCTAGCTAGCGAGCCAACCTCCGCCGCAGCAAGCTCCGTCGCTAGCTAGCCAATTGGCTAGCTAGCTGGGACGGGCCACGCTGAATATTGAGAGGGGCTCTAGCTAGCTGGCTAGCTGCTCGCTAGCCCAACACTGGTGTGGCATAGCCGCAAACAAAGCGCAGCAAAGTCAACGTTTATGCCTGGCTAAGCACCACAAGCCTAAACAAAAAGAGCAAGGGGGGCCCCCCAAGGGCCCCGGGGGCCCCGCAGCCCCGCCCCCCACGCAGGGCCACTCTGCAGCTACGGATGCCCCCTGGGGGCCCCCATGGGTTCACCTGAGAGCAGCCTGAGGCAGTGCGGGGGCCCTTCACGGGGTCCCCCAGGACCCTCTTGGGGCCCTCGCGTGGGCCCCATGAAGCTCTTCTTGGGGGCCCCCGGGCAGACTCTTTAATGCCCTTCAAGAGACTCCAAGGAACCTGAAGTGTGGGGCCTCGCCCCACGGGCCCCCCAGAAGCCACTTGGGGGGCAACACAAGACCCCTGCGAGGTTCGGGGGCCCCTGGGAGGCCCCAGGGGCCCCTTGTTGCTTCACTTCATTGATAATGATGTGCATCTCCATACACAGTTATCTTGTCTAGACGCTGTGCCTCTTCATACACAGTTATCCTATCTAGAGATCCCCGGGGCCCAAATACGGTGAAGGAAGATTCTGAAACAACCCAAACCCTAAACCCTAAACCCTCGAGGCTGGGGCCCGACATACGAAGCAGGCGAATGAATTAGGGCTCAAAGTTTAGCGTTTAAGGCCTAGGGTCTGGAAATCAGGGTTTAGGGTCTGCGACTGGGGTTTAGGATTTTTAGCGTTGAAGGGCTAGGGTCTGGAAATCAGGGTTCAGGGTCTGGTGATTAGGGTTTAGGGTTTACTGCTTCTTTCGTAGGGCGTCTTCGCCACATATTCATCCAGTCTTTCAGCAATCTCATCCACAACTGCATTGAACTCCTGCAGCACCAGCCTCAAACCCTAAACCCTAAACACTAAACCCTAGCCCTTGCCTACAGCACACCACGTTCAAAATCTATATAAAAAACCTTGTAAAACACTCGGACGGGCGGTCCACTAAGGTGTGGGGACAGGAGTTAAAGAGTTGAAGGCTCAAGTTTAGGGTTTCGGGTTTAGGGTTTAGGGTTTAGCCTGTAGGGCTCAGCGTTTCTAGCTGCTCACCTCCACAGTGATATTTCTGGGAGGAAACTGAAATCACCCAAAAGGACAGCACTGCAAACCACTGACCTTAAACCCTAGACCCTAAACCCTAAACCCTAAACCCTGATCCCTAAACTCTCGGCATAGCACCACCCCAAAGAACTCAGAACTAGGCTTTCGTTGGGTCTCTGGGGCAGTGCCCTATATTTAAGTGGATTCGGGGCTTAGGGTCTAGGGGTTAGGGTATAGGGTTTAGGGTTTAGAGACTCACTGGGTAACGAGCAACGCTGGAGACTAGATGAACGCCCATGTACTCGAACCGCAACATGTCTGCAGCAGCAGCAGCAGCAGCAGCAGCAGAAACAGCAGCTGAAACTAACTCTGTTGCTGGCAGGCAACTGGAGCCGCGCTTGCAGCAGCAGCTGCAGCAGCAGCACAGTAACTTATACAGCAGCAACAGCAGCAGCAGCAGCCTGCAGCCAGCTAGGCAGCTAGCTACAGCTAAACCCTAAACCCTAAACCCTAAACCCTAGATCCCAATCCCTCGCTCTTACAGCCTCCGTTGGTTAACTGGTTCCAAAGCAGGAGAACAGGATCCTGAAGGCACGAAGAGACAAAAGCACCAGAGCGTAAACCCCAAACCCTAAACCCTGAACTCTAAACCCTCAACGATAACTGCACCTCTTCAACCATATACGCAAACATGAAACCCACCCAGGCTCGCCCTCGTGAAGCCTGAACCATGGGGCCTAAACCCTAAACCTTAAACCCTACGCCATCAACCCCAATTCCTAAACCCCACCCTAAACCCTAAACCCTAAACCCTCGGTCGCAACTACCGACATTGGCCGGCCCTTCGTTGTTCTTGACTATGAGGGAGAAAACGCCCACAAGTGCAGCAAGTCCGAGGACCCGCAGCAGCAGCCGCAGCAGCGCAGCAACAGCAGCACGGCCCGCCTTTTCGTTTGCTGCTGTTGTTGCATGCAGCCGCAGCGAAGTGTGTCTGCTGGGGCGCCTGGAGGCCCCCGGGGTCTGCGCAGGGTCCTGCGGGTTGGGGGCCCCCTTGGAGCTCTGGGGGCCCCCGGGGAGGCCCCCGTTGGGGCCCTCATCTGTGGGTTTTCCAGGAGCCTCGGGGCCCCCTTCCGGCGCCTTTGCGCCTTCGGGAACCCCTACGGGGGCCCCCTTGCGACTCTTCAAAAGGCTAACTCGGGGGGCCCCTAGGGTCGAGCTCCGCGGGGCTGCTGCGTAGACCAGAGCCCCCGTGGGGGCCCCCGTGGGGGCCCCCGTGGGAGCCCCCTGGGGGCCCCCCGTGGGGCCCCCCGGGGGGGACCCCGGAAGGGCCCCCGGGGGGCCCCCCGAGGGGACCTCCTCCTCACTGGGGAGCCCCCAGCTGCGGTTGCTGGTCCCATCGCTGGGGGGCCCCTCATGAGAGGAGCCCCCAGTGCTGGTTGACCAGTTGGTGAGGCCCTCGAGTTCGTCTCTCCCGATTCTGTATTCTATGTCTGCTGGTACTGCTGCTGCTGCTGCCGGTGCTGCTACTCTTGCTGCTGCTGCTGCAGCGGCCAGTGGGACCTCCCCGGACCCCAGCGACGCCGGGGGCCCCTGGGGGCCTCCCGGAGGGCCCCCTTGAGCCTCTGCAACGGCCAACTCTGCAGAAACCCCATTCACATAATAACGGGGGGCCTCCATGGGGGCTTCAGCCCTGCCAAATGCAAAGGGGGGCCCCCCCAGTACCCAGTGGCAGGCAGGGGGGGCCCCCAGAAGCAGCAGCGCCAAACGAGCACAGTAACGCATGGCCAAGACAGCCCCGCTGCTGCTCCTGCTGCTGCTGCTTCTGTTGCTGCTGCTGCGCCTCTCGCTGCAGCAGCTGCTTTGGCCCACAACCAACCAACCGGCCCTGTAGCTGCAGAGGCTGCGGCTACTGCTGACGCCGCAGCGCAGAATGCTGCTGCTGCTGTCACCGCTTCTCCAGGTGCTTCAGCAGCTGCTGCAGCAACAGCTGCTGCTGCTGACGCCGAAAGTGCTGCTGCACCTACTGCAGCAGCTATAGCAGCCGCTGCAGCTACAGCAGTTTCTGAAGCTGCTGCTAGTTGTTGTGCAGTTGATGAAAAAGCTGCCTCAGTTGCTGCCACTTTTGCTCAAATTGCCCCAGCAGCTGCTGCAGGCGCTGCTGCTGCTGCTGCTGGTGAAGTTGCTCCAGCGGCAGCCGTAGCTGCTGCAGCTGCAACAACTGCAGCTTCTGCAGCTGCTACTACCGCAGCTTCTGCTGCTGCAGGTAGCAGCAGCTGCCGCTGCTTCTGCTGCAACTTGTATTGCTGGGCTGCTGCTGCTGCTGGAAGTGCAGCAGCAGGAAAGTCATTTGGAGGCGCAGCCGGAGTTGCTGCTCATTGCTGCTGCAGCGCTTGACGTCTAAGCCAAGGCAGCAGCAGAAAATAAAACAAGAAAATATGCTGAAGGCATTTTCGCTTGAAGCAATCCTGTGCGTGGAATTGCCTGAAACCCCCGCTGCGCAGCCCTCTCTTTGGACTTTCAGTGAGCCTGCAGGCATAAGGGCCACGGAAGCCTCGAAAGGGGGTTTCCTTGCAAGGATGGAAGGTTTGAGTTGCCGTTAATCAAACAAAAAAGACATATAACTCTTGTACAAGCTTAAAAAGAAGGGGGGCAGACGTGCAAGGCTGCAGAGCAGCATAAAAAGGCCGACCCCAGGCAAGGGGAGAGCACTGAAGCGGAGATGTGAAACTCCAGATGAAGCTGTGGAAGCCTCAAACCACAATTTAGGGTTTAGGAGCTAGGGTTTACGGCTACGCCGTGAGGGCTGCTGGAACGGACGGGGGACTTCCTTCTTGGCCCCCACTAGTGTCCGGCAGATCGATCTAGGGGCTTCTGCCTGGGCGGTCAGTTTCGGAGTCCTGAAGTCAGTTCTTCGTTATTTAGCAGCAAATAGTGAAGCGAAATGGAATCTTTTGCTTTGGTTCAGCATTTTCAAACAATTTAAGTGCAAAAGTGTCCAAACACGCCCTCAGAACTGTGGTAACCCCCAAGTGCTGCTTCTAGCCCGAACTCGAGCATAGTCTAACACCTTGAGGGCGGAAGAAAACAGAATGAAGTCATTTCAACCTGTTTTGCTGTTATTTTCTAATTTAAACACAATTAAACGATGGAAGAAAACAAGTTAAGCTCATTTACCCTTAAGAAGTACCTATCCTGCAGTGGGTTCGGGCGCGAGCGGTGGTCCCTGGCACAATGTCCAAGTATTTATTGCCAAGCGTGTGAACTTTAGAACTCGCTGTAGTTGTTTTAATTTTATCTGCAGGAAAATGTCCGGTTTACATTGAATTCGCTTGTTTGCTGCTCGCCCCCGCGCCGGCGCCCTGCGCGACTGACCCGCCAGCAAGGCCATTCAAGACGAACGTTTACAATTCTCACCAACAACTGGCCGCCCTGTTCATGATTGCCTCAGTAATGAGCCGCATTCCACAGCAAGTGGCGTTAATATGCAAAGAAACAAGAAAAGACGGCCCAAAAAGCACAACACTCTACACTTGCAAACGAGTACGCGTGCACTGTTTCCGCAAGACCCAGGACAAGGGTCTTCTTTGCTTTCCAGCAGCAGCTCCGAAAAGCCGTACCAGCTTGCCTGCAGCCACTGCTGCGGATCACAAAGATACACCTAAGCAAGAAAAAAATGGCTTGACCGCTCGCCCGCGTTGCCAGTTGTTCGAATTGCTGCCTAGCTATTTCATTGTACAGCGCTGCTACGGTTGCCGCTGCTATCGTCGTTGCCGCCGCTGCGCTGCTGCTGCGCTGCCGCTGCCACAGCCGCTGCCCCCACGCCGGCTGCTGCATGACTGCAGATCCTCAGGCTGCGGCCGGCGAGATGCCCGCACCAGGCGTCAGGCCGGGCCCACTGCGAGCTAGCTAGCTAGTTAGCTGGCTAGCTAGTTGGCAAAGACGCCAGCCAGCCTTATGGTGACGCAGCTCAAGCCCGATGACCTGAATTTATATGTCGAGACTCCTCGGCAGCCGGCTGTACGTCACCAGGCCAGTTGTCTAGCTATCTAGCTAGCGAACCCTTCGGCTAGCTAGCTAGATAGGTAGCTAGCTAGAGAGGATCGCTTTCGACGTTCGCCTCTGAATTCACCAGGGGATTCGTTCAGGTCGACAAGCACTTTCGTGGATTCGCCTTCCACGGTGCCCCCTGCCCGTCGCCGGCCAGCCAGGTAACTAGCCAGCCAGCTAGCTAGCCAGCTAGCTAGCCAGCTTGCTGCTTGCGCGGCCAGCTAGCTGCTGTCCCGAGCTAGTAGAAACGCTCGGCCTGCAGCCCCGTGGCAAAGACCGAGTCCGTGTAACCCCCAGTCTCCCACACAGCCGGCCCGTGCCGCCCAGTGCTCACATCCACCACTGCGCACAGCGCGGCTAAGTCTTTGGGCCGGTCCATCAGCAAAGAGTAGCTGCACGTCACCGTCACTAGCACGCAGCAGCGGCTCTCCTGCAGCTGCTGCTTCACTGAAAAACACCACCCAAACCCTAAACCCTAAACCCTAAACCCAAAATCCTGAACCCTTAAACCTGAAACATAAGAGGAAACTACAAATAAAGAGCGATCCCTCTATGGCCTGAATCCTAACTTCAGCCCACAAATAAAAGACGGCGTAAAAAGCCGCTCACATTAGCCACAACCCTCCAATTCTAAACCCTAAACCCTGATGATTTACCAGCCCAAATCCAGCGCAGTACCTAAAAGGGCCAGTGCGGGTAAAGGAATGTCTCTTGTGGATAAGAAGCTAAAGCCAGCCAGTCTTGAGGCAAAAGTGGAAACCCCAGGTCTACCTCCTATAAACTACACCTCAACCCCGAACCGTAAACCCTAGCCCAAGTCCTGACCTAAACCATAAACGCTAATGCTGCCTGTCGCTCACAAGGCTTGATGATCTTGTTGACTTCGCTGAAGGCGGGGGAGTGGCGAATGCCTATATAGAGGTCCTGGACTGTTCTGAAATCGATCTGCGTGGGACTTGAGAAGTGCCGCGCCAGCCCCACATTTGCCAGCAAAAGCAAACCATCGGGGTACTTCACCCGCAGCTGCTTCCGTTTAACCTTCAGAGACTCGTGGCACAGCTTCGAGCACATTATGCCCCTGAAGAGGCAAACACCAGCAGCACAGCACAGACCAGACAAGTGTCTTAGTGCAGGGCAGAAACAAAAGCAGCAAAAGTGGCAGCAGCAAACGAGAACTGGCCCGCAGAGCCCCAGCGTGGCGGCTAGGGAGGCCAAAATGATGCAGGAAGATGAACGGAAATAAGAGAAGTTCTAGCGCCCGAGTTGAGACAAAAATGCACAGGCAGAGACTCCGAGAAATTCCGAGAAATGGAAGGATAAGTGTCAGCAGAGCCAGGTGAGACAAAAATAAACAAAAAGAGGCGAAAGGGAGATAACAAGAGGCAAACAGCGATCCTGGGAAAGAAGGTAGAATGAGAAATGCTGCAAACAGAGGCCCGGGGAGAGGCCAGAAGAAGCGACCGCAATAGAGAGGGAAGAGAGAAGATAAGAGACAAAAGATGAGAGAAAAGAGAAAAATGTGGGCCAAGCTGGAGATGAAAGGTGAACACACGTGAAAAAGAAGAGGCCCAAAAAAAGGCAATGGGGACACTGGAAAACCAAAAGATAAACAATCGAGAAAAAAAATGAGGCAAAAACGGCGAAAAAAGAAGCAAAGAAGGGACGATGAGAGGCACAAAGAGACGAACGCAAACGGGAAGATAAACCAGACAGAGAAAAACGAAGAGAGAAAGGAAGACAAAATAGGAACAAAGTAAACAAAAACAGGTATGCAATCACGAACCCAAAGAGTGCTGAAGACGAGGAACACGAGGGAGAAAACCGAAAAGGCCTCAGAGTTTAGGGTTTAGGGTTTAAGCCTTAGGGTTTAGGGTTTAGGGAACCAAAATTGTGAGGGTTTAAAGAATAAGTAATAAGCATTCGCCTTCGAACAGCTAAGCTTCTAGCATCAACTCACGCAGTCAACAGCTGTATCGCCTCCAAATAAATGTCTGCAATCATCTTGCCTGCGCGAAACGACAAGTGTACATACACCCCCAACGTGTAGCAGCAGGTGCAGCAGCAACAGTTAAGGCAATAGCACGAAAAGCAGCAGCAAGAGGACACTCGCAGCTCCAGCGACAGCAGTAGCACGAAGCAACAACTGCAGCAGCACTGGCGGCAGCATCGACACAAGCAGCCAATAGAAAAGGCGCGAGCAACAATAAACCGCTGCGCCACCAGCAACAAGTGCAGCAGCAACAGAGCATAGAGCAGAAAAGAGGCGACAAACAGCTGTAACAGCGCAAATGTCACGCACAGCAGCGGCTGCACCCGCGATACTAATCGCTATGTTCAGCAGCAGCACCAGCAACAAACACACTAAGCAACAATCGTCACCGGGGCAGACTGCAAAAGAAGTATACAGCAGTAGCGAAGCACAATGCAGCAGCAGCAGCAATAGCAGCGACGGCCCACCTATGTTTTCATATTCGAATTGGTAGAGCAGAGCAATACGGATAGCAACTTGAGAAGGCAAATGATATTTTGCCGCTAAAGCTTTTGCCGCCTTCTGCACCTCAGGGCTCTTCTCGTTTTTAGCAAACACTGGCAAAGCAAGGTCCCTACTTTTCTGTAGCAGCAGCAGTGGC